CAGAGGCGGATCAGATAAAGGTTCAGGTTTAGTAATCAGATAAAAAGGTTCAATCAATTTAATAATTCGAATTTTGTAGTGTGTATTTGGTCGAAAAAATAACTTATATCCAAAGATTGTAAAAAGAGTATCAGAACCGACCATCCAAAATTACATCATTTTGTGCAAAATTGGCAAGGAATATGATTGGACAAAACTGTAACAGAGAGTTCAACAAACTGCAAAATTACATAGCTCCAAGAAAGCCATTGGAATCTGCCTCCCTCACAGATTTCAACTGCAACAACACAATAGGCTTCACAACAACCACAAAGACAAATATTATTTTGTCAGATATTTCTATGCAAAATAAACAGACCCTATATGACTTACACTAAGAAGATACGAATTCTTGGTTATATATCGAAAATTCTCGAGTGTGAGACAAGAAAAAAGCCTGATTCTATACACGAAACTGAGGAGTGGGGAAAAAGCAGAAGATCAATGCTAAAAGTTGCACACGGCAGAGAATTTCTCTAATCTATGAGACGTCTTTAACAACAAGAACGTCATAATTTGAATGGCTCTTAACCAAGTCAACTTGTGCTTTAATACAAAAGCACCTATTCCCCTTTATATATACCAATCTTCTCAGTCACTTTACTTATACCAAAAAAACCATTCTTCTTATAAAGTTTTCATGACGACCATCATGTCTGAATTCGGTATGCGTTTGCATTTTCTCTTGCTGCTCTTACTCTGTTCTGTCTCCTCTTCAATTTTCATCCCTACACCCTTGTCTTTTAAAGATCCTGTTGCTGGCCTTGTTGCTTGTCGTCCCCACCAGATTCAAGCCTTTACGGATTTCAAGAACGAGTTTGATACGCGGAGTTGCAATCACAGTGACTCCTTCAATGGAGTCTGGTGCGATCACTCGACAGGTGCGGTCACCATGGTACGACTCAGGGCCTGTCTCACTGGAACTTTGAAGTCCAACAGTAGCCTCTTCAGGTTGCATCATCTTCGGTACCTTAATCTCTTTCAAAACAACTTCATCTCCTCTTCACTTCCTTCCGAATTTGGCAATCTCAACAAGTTAGAGGTCTTGTCTATTTCCTCTAACGGCTTCCTCGGCCAAGTTCCTTCCACAGTCAGTAACCTAACCAGGTTAACCCAATTGAACATTCGCACGAACGAGTTCAGTGGTAGTTTCCCACTTGTACAAAACCTAACTAAGCTATCCTTTCTAAAACTTTCAGATAATCACTTCTCTGGAACCATTCCTTCTTCTATCTTCACTATGCCTTCATTATCATATCTCAATTTGCATGATAACTATTTCAACGGTTCTATTGAAATTCTTAACTCCTCTGCATCATCATCTAGGCTCGAGTTCATGTACCTTGGGAGTAACCATTTTGAAGGAAAAATCATAGAGCCTATCTCTAAGCTCATCAACCTCAAGGAACTCGCGCTTTCTTTCCTAAACACAAGTGTTCCGATAGACTTAGATCTCTTCTCCTCTCTCAAGTCTTTATCGTACCTTGATCTTTTCGGTATAACTATATCTCCATCCAGTTTAAGTTCAGATTCATACATCCCATTGACCCTGAAAGTATTAGCCTTGACGCAATGCGGTATCAAAGAGTTCCCAAACATCTTAAGGACCCTTCAGAATTTAGAGTTTATAGACATATCCGACAATGGAATCGATGGAGAAATCCCTGAGTGGTTATGGAGCCTTCCTCGTCTGAGCTATGTGTTTATTGGAGATAATTTGTTCAATGGTTTCGAAGGTCCCGCAGAAGTTTTAGCAAATTCATCAATGCAGATCCTAGATTTGTCTTCAAACCGTTTTGAAGGACCACTTCCTAATCTACCACTCTCTATCACCATCTTCACTGTGAGCGAAAATAAATTCACGGGAAACATACCTCTCTCAACCTGCAACTGCAACTCTCTCATGAATCTTGATCTAAGCTACAACAGTTTGACCGGTCCAATTCCTCAATGTTTGAGTAACTTGACGTTTGTGAATCTCCGGAAGAACAACTTGGAAGGAAGTATTCCTGACTCGTTCTATGTCGGTTCCTCTCTGCACACACTCGACGTTGGATACAATCGACTAAGCAGGAAGCTTCCAAGGTCTCTTCTCAATTGCTCCTCTCTCAAGTTTCTAAGTGTGGACTACAACAGAATCAAAGACACATTTCCTTTCTGGCTCAAGGCTTTACCGAATTTGCAAGTCCTCACCCTCCGTTCAAACAAATTCTTCGGTCCTATATCTCCTCCTCATCAAGGTCCTCTCGGATTTCTTGAGCTGCGGATTCTTGAGATATCTGATAATAAGTTTACTGGAAGCTTGCCACCAAGTTACTTTGTGAACTGGAAAGCATCATCACCCATGATGAATGAAGATGGAGGTCTATATATGAGATATCAGAAGAATGTTTACCAAACAATTGTCTATCGTTATACCGATATGATAGATTTGCAATACAAAGGTCTATTCATGGAGCAAGAGAAAGTCCTTACTTCCTATGCTGCCATTGATTTTTCTGGAAATAGACTTGAAGGGCAGATTCCTGAATCCATCGGTCTCTTAAAGGCGTTGATTGCACTCAACTTGTCAAACAACGTCTTCACAGGCCATATTCCTCTGACTTTGGCCAATCTTACCAAGCTTGAATCATTAGACATGTCAAGCAACCAACTCTCAGGGACTATTCCTAATGGACTCGAGACCCTCTCGTTTTTGGCGTTCATAAACGTGTCTCACAACCAACTCAAGGGTGAAATACCACAAGGCACACAAATTACTGGGCAGTCTAAATCGTCATTCGAAGGGAATGCAGGGCTTTGTGGTCTTCCTCTCGAAGAAAGCTGTTTCGGGACTAATGCACCACCAACACAAC